AGCTAGGTTATAAACATTGCCTATCGATTGATTGGACAAGCCCTGAGGCTTACACATGATGAATCATGATGTTCTACTGCTACATATCACTCAGTTTTCCTTTCCTTCCAGGATTTGCTGTCCTGGACAACTGTACCGAATTGTCACGAGTCGCATCAATCCGACACCGGTCGTCACGTACAGCATACAGCTTGCATCCACATTCACATATCAATATCGATATGTTTAGTAGTTTGTGCTCGTTTTCAGAAACAAACAAGACTCGAATAATAAAGAATGCAGTTGTCGTGATGCGCTATTACCATATAAAACATGTTTGTGGCTGACCAGCAGCTACTGTTTGCTCGATAGTCTGGGCGACTGGAAAATTGTGCTCGTAACATATACGCATGAATCGGCGGTACTTCCAAGTTAAGGATGGAACGCAATTTGAAGTGGGCTTCTTGCGTGGGAGAGGAGAGGAAATGTTCATTTAACTGACGTATTTTACGCCATGAATTTGTGGCCTCCAGCTATCCTGAAATCGTTCAAAGGAGGAGCCATTTGAGGTTTGAAAAGACTTTCTCCTGAGAAGAGTTCAGATGATGAGCCAAGTGATCTTGAATGGCAGGTCGCAGGCCTACCGAATATCTACCAGGCAACTCAAATCTGGTACGCAGAAAGTCGGAGGGAACATCTCACAAGGTTGGCGTGTCATAGACAAAACTTCGATGGGTTCGAACCCGCACTTGTGCTATCCGAGCACCGGGCTCTTATCCATTGCACTACCGGGAGTCCACCTGCAATCGTTTTGCAATTCCAGGAAACACCTTTAAAAACTTATAACTGTCTTGGGTTTATCTCGCCTTATTATAGAGTCAGTCTCAATGNGGCTGAAACAAATAAACATACATATCGGTGAAAAGTCATGCCAAGATTAAAAGAAAGTCGATCGTGGTATATAACTTTAAAAGCATTTTCTGCAAAGGGGGTTGCTAATAAAAATTGTTCCAAAGATTACCGACAGTAGCATTACATCGTGCAGTGAAAGTTGCGGGTGCATACTCTTTGGCCCGTCTTCTTGTTTACCATTGTTTATTTGCTGAAAAATTACGGTAACTCAGTGATGGACACAAGATGCAAATCCTCTAATCGCTTTTGTCGAGCCGATTACATCTCTTCTGTTGTTGTACTCACTTCAAACTGAACGTAATGGTCTCTGGCATTCGTATATGTTAAAAGAGAGTATTGCGTCCAGTGAGGCTACAACCAGTAAATGGATAATGTAGATACCGACTAACATTGCCATATAAAGGCTACCAGCTGGACCGTCCGGTTGTTGATTGCTTTGGTCCATGTAGAAGATTAACTTTCACACTCCCGTAACATCTTTTTTTTACTCTGGGAAGACACTGAGAAATCAGATCGTCTCTCCCTCATAGCTTCCATGTCGGCTTTTACCATTTACTGTCATCTTTATCCACTTTGAGCTTTGTAGGATGCAATACTTGGATAACACACTCAAATGCTGGGACTCCACTCTTGATACTGAGGATTAATAACCAATAATTACAACTGATAGATAGTTTAACTTCTAATGCACATTATCAGCTGTTATCCGGTTTTATAACATTCTATCACCTATCACTTACGATAGAATGGTTTTGAAAGTTGACTGGAATTCTGAAACAATCAAATACTATGTAACTGGCCTGTGACCTAAGGCTTATGCAGTTGTTTACTGTTTGTTTATGCGTTATACACTAAAAACTCAGGTATGGCAAAAGCTCATGGTAGCACGCTATTTTTGCTATTCATCACAACTTTGGGCCTGTTGGAGACTGTCTATTGCTTGTCAGGAGAGGGAAAGGAGCTCCTCGCAAAAGTGAGTCCTGGTTTTACACAAATATTAGGTAGAAGAAGTGGACCCAGGGGGTAAAACATTCAATCTGATACCTAGCAGCGATTTTCGTTGCCAAGGTGAGACACTAGGTCGTCGTTGGTCTGCATTTTCTCATGGTGGGACACATTGGAGGACGCTGAAGCAGTTGGGGTTCTTGGTCCATCAAGGATCACACTAGGCAGCTGAGCATGAAAGATTTAGAGGTCTTTGAATGGGAAGCATTTCTGCCCCCAGTCTCTCTTTCGCAACCAATTAACTCAGTCTTTATGAATTCATTTTTTCCTAAGTAGATGAATATTCGGTAATTTATATTGCCTTTACTGTCTCCTAGTTCAAAAGGAGCAGGAAGGCTACGAGTTGGTTAGCCACGTGCTAGATCCCTACCATTATCTTTTTGCTACTTTTGGTAGGAACTTTTGTGAAACTTGTATTTCAGTCTCTTCCCGGAGGGGATCTCGAAAAACGTCGTGACAGGCTGAAACATTTGGGAGAACTGTTCTCCAAACGTTACAACCTAACAGCCACTGGCCAGCAAGTAGGCGGGAACGAATCGACAGACAATGGAATACTAGATGGACAGGTGAGGTATTGAGTCTGCCTCCAACCATGGCCCTATGGATCAAGTCTTTTAGTACAGTAACTGGATACGTCCCTCTGGGGACAGTAAGGCCTCAGGTAGTGCTGCATGTTCTGGAAAGTTCCTTGGAATCATACCCAACAGTCGACATTTGGAAAACTTTTTCTTGACAAATCTGTAATTAAAGGAAGCGACAGTCTTTGCCAACGAAAGCACCGGGTTGAGTGTCGAAGAAATCAACCAAAGAGAGGGTGTCGCTGAGTATCTTTTCGATGGAGACATTAACCTTACAGAGTAAGTATACATTACCGTATTTTTGTTTAAAAATATCCGATCTGCTACAGAGAACAACTGCAAATGATAGAGGCCAGCCTGACTGATAGCAATCACACTCGTAGAAAACGTCAGATGGACACTCTGGTAGCTCGCTGGGCGAACAATCAGCTATTCTATTCCTTTGGCCCCGCTATAAGTACGTTTTTAATTTCTTAAAGGCACCGTTCACGATAATTTAGGGGTATCCGGTATTTCACAGATAGTGAAAGGTAAGGCCTACATTAGGACAATGGTAAAGCATAAAACGCGAAAATCAGCGAAAAAAAGAAATATAAACTGTCAAAAAAAAAGAGAAAAAGGGGTTGGACGAGTTTCATAATGGAAAAACGGCAGTTAGGAGAATTTTCAGGCGGGTAGACGAATGCGACGTAATGTCTGCCATT